CGTGTAATCCCAGTGGGTAGGGAAGCTAAGGCAGGGGGATTGTGAGTTCAAAGCCAGCCTCAGCAAAAGCGAGGTGCTAAGCAACTCAGTGAGACCCTATCTCTAAATAAAATATAAAATAGGGCTGGGGATGGGCTCAGTGGTTGAGTGTCCCTGAGTTCAATCCCTGGTACCAAAAAAAAAAAAAAAAAAAAAAAAAACCCATATACCACTCAGATGTCTCTAGTGCAGCTTCCCACTGCCTACAGAATCAAGCCCATTCTTTAGTGTTCAAAGTGTTCCTTGAGAGGAAGGTTTTAGGAGCCCCTGTGTCTTTTTTTTTTTCTTTTAATCTGTGTGCCTGTAAGTCTTTTTCTTTGCTTCTCTGACTTCTATTGCTCTAATCCCCCTTTTCTTTTGATCATTGGCTGTCTTAAAGAATGCTCAAGCAGGCTCTGACAGGAAGTGGACCTACCTAAATGTACCTGATGCTGATTCAGATACTGTAAGTTTTCGAACTTTCTTTTTCCTTCTTTCCAACTGTACTTCACAAATTCCATGGTTCGGGAAACATGATTTGGTGGGCAATTCTTCCAGCATATATCTTTTTCTGATCTGTGTCCCATTAACCAGAGATTCTCTTTTGAAAATATGAATGAGGTTAGGAGAACTCAAGTATTCCAACTAATTCAACATTAGAATCTGGGTGCTAGTCAAAAGACACCATGCAAACCTCCAAGCCAGTATTGGTGGTGCATGCATGTATACTAGTGACTAAGGAGGCTGAGGCAGGAGAATCACACATTCGAGGCCAGCCTGGACAATTTACTGAGGACCTAAGCAACTTAGCAAGACCCTGTCTCAAAATAAAAATAAGAAAGGCTAGGAGCCAGGCTCTGTGTCACATGCCTGTAATCCCAGTGGATTGGGAAGCTGAGACAGGAAGATCATGAGTTTGAATCCAGCCTCAGCAATTTATCGAGGCCCTAAGCAACTCAGTGAGACCCTGTCTCTAAATAAAATACAAAATAGGGCTGGGGATGGGGCTTAGTGGTCAAGTGCCCCTGAGTTCAATCTCCGGTACCAAAAAAAAAAAAAAAAGAAGAAGGGCTAGGGATGTAGCTCAGTGGTAGCATACTCCTAGGTTGAACCCCCAGTATCATAAAAAAAAAAAGACACAATCTATAATGACTCATCATTAACAAGATCTTTGGAGTGAACATCTTTATAGTCACAGCTGGGGCTTGCTTAAGAGCATCAAGTTTGGCTAGGAGTAAAATTGCCATACTACCTTAAATTCTCCCAAACCTCAGCATTTGTGGGTTCTTAGATTTTCTTCTGTACCATGGGGATCCCCTGCTTACAGAGATTCCTCTTTGACCATGTGGCTACAGAGGGATGTGAAGACACAAGTTAGCCATATAAGGAGATAGTGAGATGTGGTAGGAGGGCCTCCAACTAGAAACCTAACTTCTCTGAATGTTTTGACACTGCCAACAATTTTTGTGAGCCAGATGTGTGGGAATTAAGGCTTGATTGAATTGATATGAGAGAATTGAGGCTTTTTTTTTTTTTTTTTTTTTTTTTTTGGTGGTGCTGTTGCTGAAAGCTCGAGCTTGGTCCTTGTCCCCAAAGTCAATCCAGTTAAGAGGACATGGTTTTGAGAAAAAGGAAAAAGAAGTTTTATTGCTTTGCTAGCAAATGAGAGGCACAGAGGACTCCCAGGTCATGGTTTTGCCCTTTAGGGAAAACAGCTAGCTTTTTCTTAATGTGGTATTGGGAATTGAACACAGGGCCTACATGCGTGCTGAGCAAGCACTCTACCAACTGAGCTATACCCCCAGCCCTAGCACAGCCCTTTTAAAGAAGCTATTTGAAGGCTGCATTCCAGGTATATCCTGATAGTTTGATGAAATTCACTTGTTAATTTGACATCTCCTTCTCCTGAAGGACTGAAATCTCAAAGTAATCTTGTTCCCCGTCCCCAGGTTAGGGAGGGGGGAGAAGGAGAAGTGGAAAATAAAAACACATCCTTTTTAAAATAAGCAGCAAGGGCTATATTCAAAAGGTGATGTGATCACTGTTACAGTGCTGGGGATGGAACCTAGAGCCTTGTGTACGCTAGGCATAGCACTCTACCGCTGAACCACATCCCCAGCCTCTTGAGGCTTATTCTTGAAGCCCTTGCTACTCAAAGCCTGGTCCGTGGACCAGTTTGTATAAACTGGGATAGACTCCAAAACCTTTTCAGTTCACAAAGCCTCTAAGAGTTTGGATAATTCTTTTATGGCTCTCCTAGACCAAAAGCAACAACTGACTAGTCAATTTATTAAGTCATTAGATCTAAACAACTTAATAATCACTTGGGCACTAACAATAACCGTTTGAAAAAAATAATGGAGGTCAATAGAAGGCAAAATAATATCTTGGCTCCATTCTTAAGTAGCCGCAATTACTTACTGATTAGGACATATGTGTCTGCTGAGCCTCACATGGTTTCTCAAATCTTGAAATCTAATTAGACATCATCACTTTCATTTCCCGTTCCACATTTTTATGAAATATTTGCTTTGTGTTGCAGAAACTGCCAAAAGTTCAACTTCACGTAGCCATTGAAAAAAAGTATTATGATTTAATGGTGACACTGGAAACTACTAATTAGTATATTGTGTGGTGTCTGATAGATGATGCTGTGTTTTCTTTAAAATATTTTCTGATGCTCCTGTGAACTTGCTGTTGTGTTCTAGGGTACTTACTGTTTGGGAACTTTGGATCTAGGTGTTTTTGGAAAAGCATTATCTCAGATCCCCACCCAGACTGCATCATTAGTCAAAATCTTCATTTTTAAAAGATCCTCAGGTGCCAGAACAGTGGCACATGCCTGTAATTCCAGCAGCTCCAGAGGCTGAGTCAGTAGGATTGCAAGTTCAAGGTCAACCTCTGAAATTTAGCATGGCCCTAAACAACTTAGCCAGACCCTGTCTAAAAATATTTTTTAAAAAAATAAAAGGAACTGGAGGATGTTACTCAGTAGTTAAGAACCCTGGGGTTCAATCTCAGTCCAAAAAAAAAAAAAAAGTCCCCAGGTGATTTATATCAATGAAAGTTTGAAAAGCACTGCTGAAAGCCACCTACTATGCATGTACATTTTGTCGCTTTGTTTTAGGAATGAGAAAGACAAATTTGGTTACTCTCTTTCTCTCTTTAAGCTGTAGTTTCCAAATAATTTCAGAATTCTTGATTTGCTTTTGCCCTTGTCTTAAGCTTAGAAGAGAGATAGGAGCAATGTCACAAACATACTATTGTTTGAATAGCTCTACTCTAAGGGATTGAAGGAACACAATAGCTTTTGTAACAGTCTCTCTCTCTCTCTCTCTCTCTCTCTCTCTCTCTCTCTCACACACACACACACACACACACACACACACACACACACGTAGAAAACCTAAACTCTCTTTGCATTTACCATAGTCTTCAGTTTTTTGCAGAAGAGGCTTTATGAAAACTACTGGATCATTCCATCATTCATGAAAGCCTTCTATGGTATTCATGCATGTTACTGGTCTATGTGAAAGTCTTTGTTAATGTTACTGGCAGCCAAGCCAAGGAATCTACTAGATAGATCGCAGCTGGTGAGATTTCAGTTGCCCACCAGCATGAGAAAAAAGCAAAGGACCCCAAAGGAGAAAACAAATTTAGTGTCTTTAGCTAAAACTGGAGAGAAGCAGTTGCATGGTTTCTTTCTCTGCAGGTCCTATAGAAGCAGTTACAGTTTAACAAAACAAAAGCCAGGAAATATACATATATAGATTTAGCTGGCTTGTGTTGGCCAGAAAACAAGTCACAGTTTGGGCTTCACTGGCATCTGGGGGGTGGGGGACCCCAGGTGGGGTGGGGTGGGGATTTCTCAATTTCCATTCTCAGCACGAGGAAGTTTGGAAGCTAAAACAATTAAGATCTTTTCATTCCCAAAGGGTCTTCATTTCATTACAAAGATATAGTTTTTGCTTCTAGCACTAAAGGATAATTTTGTTGCATGTAATTAAAAATAGGCCTCATGTCATTAGTGTCAAAAGCCTCGTTTATTCTGGAAGATTTGGACCTTTGGGGAATTTTTTATTTTATTATTTGGTAGGGCTATGATTTTATTGGTTAGTGTTATAGTTTGTGGATTGCTATTTTACAGAGAATTACAAAGCCACTTCCTACATAGCCACAGAGTAACTTGAGGAATCAAAGCAGATATCAGTGCATGAGTTCCTGCCCTTGCTAAAGCTAAAGTTCCTGCCCTGGCTCCCCGAAACTGAATGCATGCTCCTTGTTGAATGTCAGAGAAAGAAGTTTTGCTAGCACTGCGTATGAGATGAGCTTTTCTTTGTCCTGCTCAGTGTATTCCAGACTTTGAAGCACATTGAACTTGAGTCTGCCAGTAAAAATGCAGAAAGTTGCAGCGATGTAGAGGGGAGGGAGCATTCACAATTCCTCATGAATAAGCAAAAGGTCTAGCTAACTGGGGAAAAGCAGTGCTTCCCCTCTGAGCAAGTTTCCTGCCTTCCTTATGAATGGTACAAGATCTGTTGCCTATCTTGCTCTGGGATTTTCTCCACCAGCAAAACAAGCTGCTGGCTTTCTTCCCTCACTGCCCGCCCCCCTTCTCTGTTCCTTGTAAAGAACAGGACTGGTAATCCATGAAGGGGGTGGATTCTGTGAAGAGATTCTTACAATAACACCAGGTGCCTTCTTTCCTTTTATTTTTCCAGACCAGCCTTAACAGCATGATGAGTGTTTACAGTGAAACAGGAGACTATGGCAACGTGAAGGTCAGTGGCGAGATCCTTCTGCACATCAGCTACTGCTACAAAACTGGCGGGCTCTACATTTATGTCAAGAATTGCAGAAATCTGGCCATAGGAGATGAAAAGAAACAGAGGACAGATGCGTAAGCACATAGCATGTTCCTCAGACCATGCCAAGTACCACCTACTTTGTGTGTATGTGTGTTTCTGTTTCCAAAGAGCCTAAGTGTTCCTCTGGATTCAGAGCATGCTCAGAGACCTTCCTCCCATACATGCTTCTAAATGTTGTCTGAAGTACACATATAATGGTCACATCCTTGGTTACCTCATTTTTTTTGGGGGGGGGTACTGAGGATTGAACCCAGGGGTGCCTAACCACTGAACCACATCCCCAGCCCTTTTTATATATATATATTTTTTTAGAGACAGGGTTTCACTGAGTTGCTAAGTGCCTCACTAACTTGCTGAGGCTGGCTTTGAACTCCCCATCCTTCTGCTTCAGCCTCCTGAGCTGCTGGGATTACAGATGTGCACCACAGGTCCCAGCTGGTTACCTTATTTTTAAGAGGCCATTACTCAACATAATTCAGCAGTGACAAATTTGTATTTTGCACAGAGATCACTCTTTGAGGTAGAAGCCCGAAATGTTGGCATACCCAGGATGTACAAGAGTATCCTCTTGATTTTTGTTCTGGGAAAACTTCCAGACATAATTACCAAGCTGTTACCCAATTTAACAACTCAGAAGGGCAATTAGTGAGGCTCTGGGGATCCTAGGGATCAGCCTGAGTGGTCCAATATAAAGCATGACATGTTGGAGGGGAGCTCGATGTAAAGATGAGTCAGGGGTCCCCATGACAACTGCCAAGTTCATTGATTCACTAGAAAGGCTCACAGGAATGTACATGTAGTTATAAGCAATGAAGAGAAAAGGCACGTGAGAGGGAAAGTCCTGAATAAACCAGACTCAAGCTTCCAAGGGAATCACACATGATGCTCTTAATTCTTGTGAAATGTCTACCAGGGAAGCTTCTAAGAGGCTCAGCTGGTCATGTACCAAATTTCCAGGCTCCCAGAAGGAAAACACATGTTCAGTATAAGTTATATTGTTTGTACAAACAGTTTAGGCCCAATGAGCCACATTTATCAGTTCTAAGAATGGTAGGAACCCTCCTGAAATCCATGTTCCCAAATGATATCTAAGGGCCAAACTTGCAAGCAAGCTTTTCTAAGAATGGCAATCTCAGGCCTGCTATGTTAACTCTTTTTTGCATATTACATGATCTAAGCCCAATAAACAACTCAATAAAACTGGTTCCAAGTATCCTAAAGTAGACAGATGATTGGATTCTGACTATAGATTGGTCCATCTGCCTCCTTAACTATATTTCAGAGGGTTCCAGGACCAATATAATAATCATTTTGACTAGCATGGAAGGGGGCCATCTAAAACCCTAGCAGGAGCTGGGTTTGTGACTCAGCAAAGACTGCTTGCTAAGCATGCGTGAAGCCTCGGATTTGAAACCCAGCAGCACAGAAAATAAACAAATAAAATATAAAACCCCAGCAGATATACTTTAGAATCCTGGCAGCAACTCACGCATTTATATGTCTACTATGACGCCCCTGCCACAAAAAATAGTTCAAGCCAAGGTGTTGGGTACAATTGCTCTTATGACTCCTGGTTGTTGTTTTCTGTTTCTCCTTTTTCACTATTTTCTTTCATCACTCATTACCATTGACCCCTACTCCCCAACATCAGAAGGCAGGATGAAGAATAGAGAGGCCTATACCCTAGAAAATTTGTGAGAATACTGATAATGAAAACAGATTACATTTATTGAGTGGTCCAATATGTCTTCTCCTTGCAGGTATCAACTAATTTAATCCTCACAATGCCATGAGTTACATACTGTTATCATCCCAGTTTTATTTTATTTATTTATGGTACTGGGGATTGAACCCAGGGCTTTGTGCATGCAAGGGAAGCACTCTACCAACTGAGCTATAGCCCCAGCCCCTCATCCCAGTTTTACACTAGAAGAAACTGAGACCCAGTGAAGCATGGGTGATCCAAAATTAATGGGTCTAACTCCAGAATCTGCCATCTTTACCACTAGAATTTACTTCTTCTCTTTTTTTAAGGGCCCAGAGTTATTTTTGTTTGTTTGTTTGTCTTTGTCTTTTGGGTACCAGGGACTGAACCCAGGAGTGTTTAACCACTGAGCCACAACCCCAGCCATTTTTGTTGTTGTTGTTCAGAGACAGGGTGTCTCTGAGTTGCTTAGGGCCTCCCTAAGTTGCTGAGGCTGGCTTTGAACTTGTGATCCTCCTGCCTCACTCTCCTTAGCTACTGGGATTACAGGTGTGGACCACTGTGCCCGGCTGCCCAGAGTTGTCTGTTTGTTTCTTTTTGTTTTGTTTGACAGTGCTGGGGACTGAACCAGGGCCTCAAACATCCCCAGCCCAATCAGAGTTATATTTTAAGGTGTCTTGATATATATACTACATTCTCTTTCCTTCTGTCTCTTATACTTACTGACCTATTGCCCTTTATTCACTGAAGTCTCTGAGCATTTCTTACAAAATAGATGTTTCCAAATGATTACTTTCATCCTTTATTATCCGCAGTTATGTCAAGTCATACCTTCTTCCTGACAAGTCCCGGAACAATAAGCGCAAGACGAAAATCAGAACAGGCACCAATCCAGAATTCAATGAAATACTAAAGGTAAGTAAATATTCTCATAGTAAACTCATGTGATATCGATCACAACCTCATTGGTTTAATTTGCATTCAAAACTTATGTTTTAGAAAATTGGAATTGGAATAAGTGATTGTAATACCCTGGCTTTCCTAACAGGTTTTTTTTTGGGGGGCGGCGGGGACCAGGAATTGAACTCAGGGGCACGCGACTACTGAGCCACATCCCCAGCCCTTTTTTTGTATTTTGTTTAGAGACAGGGTCTCACTGAGTTGCTTAGCACCTCACTAAATGCTGAGACTGGCTTCAAACTCATGATCCTCCTGTCTCAGCCTCCCGAGGTGCTGGGATTACAGGTGTGTGCCACTGCACCCAGCTTCCTAACAGTTTTTGGAAAAGAAAAAAATGTAAATCACTTTTAATTTGTTTATTTCTCTGCTGCTGCTAAAGTTGCACCTTCAGTAGACTTGATTCCACAGAATTACATCTGAACATCAGTCCCATCTTGTCACAAAGTACATTTCACCCTTGGGAAAACTGCTTTTTCAGATATCCTTCCAAATGAAGTTTGTCACAATTTTGACCCTTATTTAGTAGGTCACTTTGTACACATCCATTATTCTGCTAACAGCATGGATATGTATTGTTTCTTGTTAGGGTTTCAGAATTTGGGTAAATTTAGGTGTGTGGTTAATGACTGGTAGAGATGCAGAGTGAGTGAGATTGAAGTAATGTCAGAGAAAGTGGTCTAGATAAAATATGACCCAGGTCCGAATCCTAAAGATATTTCTATTTCTAACGGACTTCCATACAACAACCCCTTCTTTCACTCTGGGCCAATCTTACCTGGTAAGAAATATTTTGTGAGAATAAAATGTACATAAAAGTTGCCAGGTATAGTAGTGCATGCCTATAGTCCCCGAGACTCACAAGGCTGAGGCAGGAGGATCGTGAGTTCAAAGCCAGCCTCACCAACTTAGCGAAGCCCTAAGTAATTTAGTAAGACTCTGTCTCAAAATAAAAAGGGCTGGGGATATGGCTCAGTGGTTTAGCGCCCCTTAGTCCAATCCCCAGTGCAAAAAAGAAAAAAGAAAGGTAGAAGTTATTGCCAATCCCAGGAAAATGTATGGACTTGTACTCAGAATGATGGTGTCAGAAAGCCAATATCTGAGGAAGTTGGTGATGGCAAAAAGCCATGAGCCCACATGGTTCAGTGAAGGCATGTTTGGAAACAGGAGCCAATATCAAGACAGACCAGTGGCCATAACAAGGTCACAAAGACAAGGCCAAACATAATGGCAGAATAAATTCAGGAAGCAGGGAGCCAAAGTTTATCATGTGAGTAACAGCAAGGACAGAAATTGACACAAATCCAAAATCAGAAATCAGTCTGTTTTGCTGAGCTCAGTAGTGCACGCCTGCAATCCCAGCAACTCAAAAGGGTGAGGCAGGAGGATCACAAGTTCAAGGCCAGCCTCAGCAACCTAGCAAGGCCCTAAGGAACTTAGCAAGGCCCTGTCTCCAAATGAAAAGGGCTGGAAATATAGTTCAGTGATAAAGTGAGCACCCTAGGTTTAATCCCCAGTACACACACACACACACACACACACACACACACACACAGAGAGAGAGAGAGAGAGAGAGAGAGAGAGAGAGAGAAATCAGTCTGAAGTGTGGCCCAGATGGTGATTTCATGGAATGAGCAGAAGGTTGGAGGGTGTGTGGGCATGGGGCCCTCTGTATCGTTCTGCTGGAAAAGAAAACGCTAGCCCAGTAATCTGTCCCTTCTGCTCACTATGTATTCATCTTCGTCTCTGTATTTAGACCAGGTTTTATGAAGTTTGGTGTCTAAAAGCTTCTTGTAGTCAATAAGAATGATAATGTCTCCCAACTTTGGGGAACTTAAGGGGTTTCATTATGAATAAATACAGCACAGAAGTTGGAGAATTGATATATTAAACCTTGAACTACAAAGTAGATGTGAGCGGCTGGGCACAGTGGTACATGCCTGTAATCCTAGCGGCTCCAGAGGCTGAGGCAGGAGGATCACAAGTTCAAAGCCAGCCTCAGCAAAAAGTGAGGCCCTAAGTAACTCAGTGAGACCCTGTCTCTAAATAAAATACAAAATAGGGCTAAGGATGTGGCTCAGTGGTTAAGTGCCCCTGAGTTCAATCTTCAGTACCCCTCACCCCTCAAAAAATGTAGATGTGAAAAAATAGGCAAATGAAAATCAGGTAAAAATTAGACAGAGGAGAAGCTTTATCACCTAATGTTTTTTAATTCCATATCTGGAGTTTATTGCCCTTCCCCCCAGATAATTTATTGATACATACTTCAGCATCAGATCTCGTGCAAAATGATTTTTATGAAACAACTTCAATTGTCACAAAAACAAAGAAAGTTTTCTTTGTGTTAGTTTTGTTCATATTTCTGATGTCTGTGATCTGAAGATGATGGAAGTAAATATCAACCTGTCTGGGAACTGGACAGAACCCTCCTTTCAGAGTGTGATATTGTAAATCTCCTTTGCAGTACACCATCAGCCATACCCAATTGGAAACGAGAACTCTGCAGCTCTCGGTCTGGCACTATGATCGATTTGGACATAACAGCTTCCTCGGAGAGGTGGAGATTCCTTTTGACTCATGGAACTTTGAAAATCCATGTGATGAGTGGTTTGTGCTTCAGCCCAAGGTAGGAAAATACTTCCAAATCACAGTTATGCAGTCTGGCAAGTTTGAGCAAAATTAATGTCATAGGCCTCCTGAAGAATCTGAAGGCTTCCAGGTTTCCAGTGATAACCTACAAAGATTAGTTGAGCATATTTTGGAATAATATTATCATAAACATTGTAATACCATTGCTCTGAAAACTTCATCAATATAGATTGTCTGATAATGCAAGCTGTATAACCATATATATTATTAGTTTTATTACTAAAAATGCATTCATCATTTGAGGGTCTTCATGGGTAACCATGAAGAATACATTATATGATCCTGTTAGAATGAGGAAGTCTGTCAGGTGTGATGGTGCCTGCCTGTAACCCCAGCGACTCAGGAGGCTGACACAGGAGGATGGCAAATTGGAGGCCAGCCTCAGCAATTTATCAAGACCCTGTCTCAAAATTTAAAAAAAAAAATACAAAGGGCTGGAGATGTAGCTCAATGGTAAAGTATCCCTGGGTTCAATTGCCACTACCAAAAAATAAAAAATAAAATAAAAAGAGAGAATTTTTTCATTTCACATAGTAAAAAACAAACCTATGGAGCATGATCAATCTCAAAACATTATCTCTGTTTCGCATTCTCTACAGACCATAAACAGAATAGTCTTGCGTTGGTTCAGTTGAGGAAGTGAAACAAAATATCTGGTTTACTACATTCATACTTTTGAGATTCATAACCTAGGCCTTAGGATAACTCAACAAAAACAAGCTTAGAGCTAATTTTCTAGAAACGAAGCACCAGTATAGTATGCATATTCTTTTTTTAAAATATTTTTTAGTTGTCACAAGACTTTATTTATTGTTTATTTTTATGTGGTTCTGAGACTCAAACTAGTGCCTGACACATGCTAGGCAAGTGCTCTTCCACTGAGTGACAACTCCAGCCCATAGTAGGTCATATTGTAATCTAGACCAACAGATCCTTGGATTCACTCTAAGCAACTAGGGTTTCTCTACATTTATAGTAACTTTTAAGTGAAACGAAGAGTAAAAGCCAGGTATGGTGGGTGCACACCTTTAACCCCAGAGATTTAGGAGGCTGAGGATCACAAGTTGGTGGCCAGCCTTGACAACTTAGTGAGGTCCTAAGTAACTTAGCAAGACCCATCTCAAAATAAAAAATAAAAAGGGCTGGGGATGTGTCTCAGTAGTATAGCACCCCTGGGTTCAATCCCCAGTACTTGGGACAGGAGGGCAGGGAGACATAGGGGCTCATTGAAGATTAGTTTGGAGATAAAAGCAGCATCTTTCCAGCGAATTTTCTGGAATTGATTGAAAGACTTTGCTCTCTTAAGACATCTTTTGTGCCTAAGGTCACAGTTTTTCAAGGTAATCGCCTCCATATTACCATAGGGTATTTCCCTTTCTGTCATAAGCAGGAAGCTTCTCTGGGTCTCTCTGAGCTACTGAAGGTAAAAATTCTGATTGTGTTCACTGTCTGAATAAACCATCATTCCTTTGCTAGATCCCTTCAGATTTCTAATGATTCTAGGAGATTACACTCTACAACTTCCACCTGAGATTCTTTTTTAGAAACCTGGCTTCAGACTACTAGAGCTTTTGCCCCCGTAGATAGTCATTTATTCCTGAGAGGTTTTGTACCCCTGCCATGAGGCAACTCTTAGTAAATAACCAACAGGTAAGGAAGCTTGCAAACCTACTTTCCTTACTGAGAAAGAGAAAAATGCCAAAGTGTTAGTTATTCCCCAGAGCACCTCTGCCACCTCAGGCCAAAGCTGCCTTCCATTGTACCCAGAATTGTACCTGCTTCTCCCACCCCTTCACTGGTGTCTCAAGGGAACACTTCCTTAATAAGTCACTTGCATAAGACACTTTACCTCAGAGTTCGCTGAACCCAAACTGGGGAACCCAAAAGAAGCTAGCGTCTCTCATCCGTATCATCATCCTCTGCCAGGCCTACTTATTTAGAAGACACATTTAGAAGAAAGGCCGAAGACTCAGACTTGCTTTGGGGAGGACAGATGTAAAGGCATGCTCTGTATGTTGAGCTGTATGTTAATCAGCTTTTCATGGCTGTGACAAAATACTTGAGATAATCAACTTTTTTTTAAAAAAAAGAAGGTTTATTTTGGTTCACAGTTTCATTGATCTGTTTTTTTCTGGACCTGTGGTGAGGCAGTACACCAAGGACAGGAGTTTGTGGTGGAGAAGGCCTGTTCATCTCATGGCAGCCAGAAAGCAAAAAGGAGAGACAGGAAGGATCAGGGTCCCAATATCCCTTCCAATGGCATGACCCCCATAACCAAGCTTTCTCCCATTACAACCCTCATCTTGAAGGTTCCCTCCCTCCCAATAGCATCAAAGGCTGGGGACCAAGCCTTTAACACATAGGCTCTGGGGGAACATTCCAGATCTAAACTATAGCAGCTGTGCTATGTGTGGTGGATTATGGGTCAGCTATGTGAAGGGTCACTTTATTCTCAATCTCCTGTCTTACACATTTGGTGCTATAGGCACTCCAACAGCTGCACTTAGGATATGAGCAGCCCTGGAGATTAGATGTTTCTGGTAGGTTATCCATCTGAGGAAGCCAAGCATGAGCTACAAGGACCAACTTCCCTAGTAATGAAGAATTAGAATGAATAGTTCTTAAACATTCGAAAATAGTGACATCCTTTTACAATGGGAATGGCAGAAAACATCCTGCCTTATTGCTTACTGATTCTATGTTGCTGAAAGTCTCTTGGTACCTAGCTTTGTTTATGTTAGGTCTCAGCAGAAGAAGTGTTATTACATATACACAGCACAATTTTTCATATCTCTGGTTGTATACGACAGTTGAGTGTATTTTGACATATTATATATACATGGAGTATGACTTGTTCTGATTAGGATTCCATTCTTGAGGTTGTACATGATGTGGAGTTTCTCTGGTCGTGTATTCATATATGAACATAGGGAAATTATGTCTGATTCTTTCTATGTCTTTCCTTTTCTCATCCCCCTCCCTTCCCTTCACTCTCCTTGGTCTAATCCAATGAACTTCTAGTTCCCTCCCTTCCTTTATGGTAAATCAGCATCCACATATCAGAAAGAACATTCAGCCTTTGGTTTGGGGGGGATTGGCTTATTTCACACAGCATGATAGTCTCTGGTTCCATCCATTTATTTTATTTTAATTTTTAAATATTTTTTTAATTGTTGATAGACCTTTATTTTAGAACCCAGGGCCTCACACATGCTAGGCGAGTGTTCTACCACTGAGCCACAACCCCAGCCTGACATTAAAGCAAAGAGGACCAGTAGTAGGTCAATTAATAATAAAGTTATAGAAACCCCCACATTCAAATACTTGCTCTCAAAACGTTTTTAATACTTGATTTTTAATAGGAATTCATTTTATGAATTGACAGATAAGTTGTATATAGTTTTCATGTACAAGATGTTGTTTTGAAATATAATAATAATACATTGTAGAATAGCTAAATCGAGATGATTAACACATGTGTTACTTTACATACCTATTTTTATAATGAGAATACTTAAAAATTCCTAGCAAATCTGGGTATGGTGGTGCAGTCCTATAATCCCAGCAGCTTGAGAGTCTGAGGCAGGAGGATCACAAATTTGAGGCCAGCCTCAGCAACTTAAGCGAGACCCTAAACAACTTAGTGAGACCCTGTCTCAAAATTAAAAATAAGGGCTGAGATGTGGCTCAAGTGGTAGCGCACTCATCTGGCATGTGTGAGGCACTGGGTTCGATCCTCAGCACCACATAAAAAGAAAATAAAGATATTTTAAAAAATTAAAAATAAACTGGATGCAGTGGCGCATGCCTGTAATCCCAGCAGATCAGGAGGCTGAGGCAGGAGGATTATGAGCTGAAACCAGCCTCAGCAATTTAATATGAGGCCCTAAGCAACTCAGTGAGACCCTATCTCTAAATAAATACAAAAAAGGGCTGGGGATGGGGCTCAGTGGTTGAGTGCTCCTGAGTTCAATCTCCAGTGCCCCCCTCCAAAAAAATAAAGAAAATTAAACATAAAAAGGACTGGGGATGTGACTTAGTGGTTAAGCACCCCTGGGGTTCAATCCCTGGTAAACACACACACACACACACACACACACACACACACACACACTATATGTATGTATGTATGTATATATATATATATATATATATATATATATATATATATTCCTAGCAATTTTTAAGAATACAATTAAGGATAGTCAGATAGTCAGCATGTTTGCTGAACTTATGTGATATAAGGATTTAATTTCATTCTTCTGCATGTAAATATTCAGTTTTCCCTACACCAGTTATTGACGAGACTTTCCTTTTCTCTTTGTATGTTCTTGGTACCTTTGTTGAAAATCAGTTAATCATAAAGGTGTGTATTTATTTCTGTGCTCTCGGTTCTGTTCTGTTCCATTGGTCTGTGTGTAACATGCTGGTTTGATTACTTCAGTTTCTCAATATTTTTCTTGAACATATATTTTACTTTAAAACAATTACCTGTTCATTCATGTGTATATCTTCCATTATTGAAGACAATTTTGTTTGACTATGGGTTTAGTAATTAAAATTCTGGAATATCTTTCTGGAATTAATTTTACCTCTTAATGCATCATTAACAAAAATTTCTCACTTGAGTTTTTCTAAAGCAAAACCAGAATGTATGAACACTTACAGCTGGGCACAGTGGTGCACATTTGTAATCCCAGCTACATGGGGGGCTGAGATAGGAGGATCACAAGTTCAAGGCCAGCCTGGGGAACTTAGAGACCCTGTCTCAAACTTAAAAAAAAAAATTAAAAGGGTTGAGGATGTAGCTCAGTGCTAAAATCCCCCTCAGTTCAATCCCCAGTACCAAAACAAACAAACAAAATAAAAAAAACTCAGAATGGTTTCAAAGTAAACCAAATGCAAAAATCTTTCTTAATGTTAATGGTATTTTTCTAATATTTTCAGCCTTTTTTTGTACCAGGACTTGAACACAGAGTGCTTAACCACTGAGCCACATCCCCAGCCCTATTTTGTATTTTTTTTAAGAGACAGTGTCTCACTGAGTTGCTGAGGGCCTTCCTAAGTTGCTGAGGCTGACTTTGAACTAGCCATCTCCTGTCTCAGCCTCCTGAGCCACTGGGATTACAGGTGTGCACCACCACATCCAGTTCTTTTACAGTTTTAAGCCCACACCTAAATAATAGCAACCTTGTTTTAGGATCTTAGGCTCTTCTAAAATATTCAACTTAAATTTTTATAGTAACAGCTTTCTTTTGCACCAATCAACTTATGTGATATCAAATTATATAATGACAATCACAAATATGGCTAGCAGAAAGAGCTTAGAGGACTAATGCAGTGGACTCTTGGTGAGCATGCCTTTCTGCTCATGGAAGCAGACACAGTGATTGTTGTAGAGATGTTCCTGCTCTTCACTGGGGATGGAGAACATTAATTAATCTGATGAGTCAGTTAATGTGGGTAGATTAATAGAGCTTTTACCACAGATATCTCCTGGATAAACTGAAAGCTGATTGAAAGCAGGGTCTGTGTCTCATGTGTCCCCACAACACTTAGCAAAGTACTTAATAAAAAGTAAGCATTCTGGATATGTTTGTAGAATGGAACTGAATTCAATTTCACTACCTTATTTTGAGCAGGACTTCATTGCAGAAGGGAAATGGTAATATGCCAGGAGAGGGTGTTACCTTGGAATCTTCTAGAAAGAGTACCAAAACTACCCCCCACCAAGATGTTAGATATGTGCTGCAAGATGACCTTTGCAGTATGTAATTATAATGCTATAAGGCTACATCTGTATTGTGTTCTACTTTCATAAGACTTGATGTCTATTTTATACAAAATCACCAGTATATTTTAATTTAAGCCAAAAAGCAACAGAACTTAACCAGTGATCCATATTCCCAGCCCTTTTTTTGTATCTTATTTAGAGCCAGGACCTCACAGAATTGCTTAGGTAGCCTCTCTAAGTTGCTGAGACTGGATTTGAACTCTGGATCCTCTTGCCTCATCCTCCTGAATTGCTGGGATTACAGCCATCCGTAACCACACCGGGATCCAGTTTTTTATTATTACAAATGAAGCTGATAGGAATATTAGTGTTCATGTTTCTATGGATATAATTTTTCATTTCTCTGGAATAAATGCCTAAACATTTAATTTCTAACTTGCATAGTAGCTGCATGTTTAGTTTTAGGAGAAATTATAAAACTGTTATTTAGAATGGCCACACCATTTTACATTCCTGCTAGCAATATTTAAGTGAACCATTTTCTCTACATTTTTTTTATTTCATTTTTTTATCCATATTGATATTTGATGATACAAGTTACCAGTATTGCCTTCAATAATGGGTGGCTGGCGGCCCATTGTAATCAAGCATGACTGCCTACATTTCCCATCTTGATCACTTAGAAAAGTTTCAAGACATCAAAGACAGGGAGGCATAACTTTTGGAACTGTTTCTGAGGCATATTGATTCCTGCCTCACACTGCATACTGTATGCATATGATAGGTGATAGCTCAATCTTCACTGTATTACTCAATATCCATTGGGATAAAATATGTGTAATATATCTCCTTTCAAATTCGTTTTACTTTAATGTTAAAAGTTATATGCAAAAAAAGTTATATGCAAATGTCTTAGTATACTTTTCTAGCTTTTCTTATAAGTCATCTCAAAAAATAAGAACTAACATAGTTGAATAGAAATGGATTGTCACATTTAAGCCACCAAGCAAATATTGTACATTCAAACATGGGTTGCAATACTCTATGCCAAGTATTTCACCTCTTTCTTGTCTCCCTTTGGCCAGGTGGAGTCTGTTGCTGACATTGGCCTTCAATACAAAGGAGAACTAACAGTTGTTTTGCGCTACATTCCTCCAGAGGATTACCTGATGCTTCCACAAGGACAGCTTCAAGGTAGAGTAAAAATCAACGACTTTGATCAATGACATTCTATTTTTACAAATATGGAATGGCACTCAGGGATTGGTTGGGCTATGTTACTGTTACTTTTTTTTTTTTTTTTGGTACCTGGGATTGAAATCAGGGGCACTTGGCCACTAAGCCACATCCCCAGACCTATTTTGTATTTTATTTAGAGACAGGGTCTCACTGAGTTGCTTAGCGCCTTGCTTTTGCTGGGGCTGGCTTTGAACTCATGATACTCCTGCCTCAGCTTCCCAAGCCACTGGGGTTATAGGCTTGCACCATCTTGTCCAGATAGACTATGTTATTTTAATGCTAAACAGATGAAACTTAGAGTGAGGTGTTTCTGTCTTTTTAGGAGTGGCGAGAGTATATACCATATATGGAGAAAGATGTGGGATTCTTATAAGGAAAACAAGTTCATACTTAGAAACCATGTTGGATGATGAGCTTTATGTTCTGTTTCATTCTCAGAGATATAGGATCTTCCCCAGAGTGGGGGGATCTACTGGAAGGGGATATAGGAATGCTGTATGGATTTATGTCTTTCATAGTTATTCAGGGAGTCTTGAGGAAGAAGCTCACATACAACACAGAATGCAAAGAAAAAATCCAGATGGAGTTAATTTGTAAATCTCTCTTGCTCTTCTCCTTCCATCAACTCCACCAGGCAGCCTCCAGTATCTTCCCATTCATGATCACCCTCTTCAATGTGTCCCTATACAAGGAATGTACTGTCTCCTGGCCTTGGTTTTCTCACTTCAAAGGGTTGTTGAAAGTATTTAATTGATAAAGATGGTGGTTGTTATTCCCGTTGTACATATTTCATCCCAATAACAATGTGAGGTAGGAGTGAATTTTCTCTCATTCAAAAATGTAATTGTAGCTGGGCTTGATGGCACATGCCTGTAATCCCAGTGGCTCAGGAGGCTAAGGCAGGAGGATTACAAATTTGAGGCCAGCCTTAGCATTAGTGAGGCCCTAAGCAATTTGTGAGATCCTGTAGGGAAATAAAAAATAAAAAGGACCATGGATGTGGCTCAGTGGTTAAGCGTCCCTGAGTGCAATCCCTGGTACCCCCCCCCCATAAAAAGTAATTGTGCCTGGGCTGCAGCCTCTAGAGCTGACCCTGCCCGAAGCTGACAATTTACAAAAAGAGAGTTATGGAATTTTCTCTTTTGGAGACTTGGTGCTTGTGTCTGACTTTCATCATAGCTAATTCTCATTATAATGGTGACTCTAGAAGCAGCTCTCAGGATCTTTTCTGTTCCCTTCTTTCAGATCCTGTGATAAGTATGCTTTGTAGGGGACTAGTTAAGTTTTGAAGTTTACTTTTTCACTTTCTTGCAACAAATACAAATGAAAGACCCATTTAGAAGGAATCAAATTTATTTCTTCCCACTTTTTTTTTTTTTTTTGGTACTGGGAACTGAACTCAGGGCCACTTGATCACTGGGTCTCACTGAGACAGGGTCTCATTGAGTTGCTTAGCACTTCACTTTTGCTGAGGCTGGTTTGAACTCAGGATCCTCCTGCCTCAGTCCACCGAGCTGCTGGGATTATAGGCGTGCACCACCACACCCAGCTTTTTTTTTCCACATTTTTTATTGGTACACTATAGTTGTACATATTGATTGGATTTGTTGTTACATATTCATACATGCACACAATACACAATACAACAATCTAGTATTATATATTAGTGATATGGGTCAATATCACTCCCAGCACTTCCTCCCTCCCTATGTCCCACCCCTTGGTCCCTTTCCTCTTCTGATCTACCTTTGATTTTTAGGAGATCCACCCCTACGTTTCTTTTCCATTTCCCTCTCTAGTTTCCATTTTTGAGAGAAAACATATGGCCCTTAAACTTCTGAGTTTGGCTTATCTCACTTAACATTATATCTCTGATTCCATTCATTTTCCTGAAAATGACATAATTTCATTTTTCTTTATGACTGAAAAAACCCCATTGTGTATATGTGCCCCATTTTCTTTATCCATTTGATGGACACCTAGACTGGTTCCAAAATTTGACTATTGTGAATTGTGCTGGAATAAACATGGGTGTGCATGTATCACTGTAGTATGGTGATTTTAATTCTTAGGATAAATACCGAGGAGTGGTATATCTGGGTCATGTGGTGGTTCCATGCTTAGTCTTTTGAGGAACTTCCATATTAAGAATCCAATTTAAATAAATATAAAATATACAATAGCATAAACACCCCATTCAGTCAGCAAATGAAGTCAATGTTTGCAGATATTCTTTGCAAATTTTGAAGTGGAATCCATGATCATCATCTCTTCACCCCCCCCCCCATCATTTTAGTGGCTGATGCAGGAAAGAAGACCTTTAAAAAGGGAAAGAAAAAGGAATCACCTGTAATGTCTGGAGGAATACTAGAAGTGTTCATCAAAGAAGCAAAGAATTTGACAGCGGTGAAATCCGGAGGCACCTCTGACAGCTTTGTGAAGGGGTAATTTTGTTTTAGTACATTTCTGATACTTGGGAGATGAAAAAATCTATGATCCACAAGACTGGTGGCTATGAGGCTTCCATGTTCCATTCCTAGGACATGTCCTGAGGAAGAGCCAGCCACCCTAAGCGCTGGCTCTTATATCTAAAACAATAGGAATGTTGAGGGAGCCACTTCTTGAAGCTTACACTGTGTTTCCAGAATGTTTCAGGAGTTCCTGTCTCTCTCACCCTCAAGACCAGCAGATTTTCCTTTGGTATTCATTTCTTTTTTTTTTTTTTTTAAAGAGAGAGTGAGAGAGGAGAGAGAGAGAGAGAGAGAGAGAGAGAGAGAGAGAGAGAGAGAGAATTTTTTTTAATATTTATTTTTTAGTTCTCGGCGGACACAACATCCTTGTTGGTATGTGGTGCTGAGGATCGAACCCGGGCCGCACGCATGCCAGGCGAGCGCGCTACCGCTTGAGCCACATCCCCAGCCCCTGGTATTCATTTCTTAAAGGAAGAAAAAGTATGATTTTCTGTGCATAATGTACTTTTATTATGGTTTGTTATTATTTGGTGCCAATATAAAACAACAACCAAAATATTGGATACTTGCTATTTTGCTCTCTTGGGAAATTTTTTAAAGTAGACAAATCAGAGCATCTTCCTTGGAGATAGGCACTAGAGAGTGTTCTGGAGAGCCTCCAGGACCATCTGCTGAGCTAAGACGTGATGCTGGCTTTACAGAGAATCATAAAGCACATGAGGTAAAGAAAGTTCCTTTGCTGGCAGGCCACCAGGTTAATTCTTTGAGTCAGATGACAGTTTTTTCTTCTCGTACAGCCTTCTTAGAAATGTGTATTTTTCTTACAAGAAAATGAGTCATGCCTTTATCCTCAAATGTTCTTTTTGTTTTGTTTTGTTTTTTGCCATGCTGGGGATTAAAACCAGGGCCTCACGCATGCTAGGCAAACACTCCACCACTGAGCTATCTGACCCCATCCCACCATTGCACATTGTGACTTTGGTAAAGCCAATAGCCAATAGTGAGGAGAAGCTGATGTCTGGGGCTTCCCCATTGGTGAACGTGTGTCCTTGTTCATCAGTTTTTCATTCTTTCTTGCAATAGATTGAAGCATAGAAGAAATACATTTTTGGATCTTGAGGGTACAGTTTGTCTCACCACCCCCACCATCCACTTGTGGCCTCTGCTACTCTCTGTCTTATGGGATAAGAGGATGGCTCCTGGCCCATGACCTCACTGTGACCTTACAGGGGTGACTTACTATCTTCTGGAACAGTTTTCACTTTCTCCTATTGAGAATTTATGAAACAGAAATAATAAAGGATAGCACTTTTGCTCTATTAAAAAAAGTCTAACTTTCCAGTAAATTTTCTTCTTATTTGTACTTAAATATTAAGCTGATTTTAAAGGAAACTGACATTTTTAAGTTATTTATTTATTATATATGTATATATATTTTTGGTAATGGGGACTGAATTCAAAGATGCTTTACCATTTATCCCCAGCCCTTTTTATTTTTGATATAGAGACAGGGTCTTGCTAAGTTGTTTAGGGCCTCGCCAAGATGCTGAGGCTGGCCTTGAACTTGTGATTTTCCTGCCTCAGCTTCCCACATTGCAGGGATTACAGGCATGTGGCACTGCACCCATCCCTAAAATTAAAAAATAAAAACAAACAAACATAAAATCAGAGAGGAGAGAGAGAGAGAGAGAGGAGAGAGAGAGAGAGAGAAAGCAAGAATAGACCTTTATGTAAGTTTAATATTCTAACATTTTAAAATTAAATAATTACTTAATTATATTAGTTTGTCAGTGAGCTAAATTAACAGTGGCTTAAAAAAACAAAAGTTTCTCTTTATTTCTCTTACATGTCAGAAAAGACTCAAGCTAATGTACCCATGGCAGGCATGGAAACATCATAATTATAAGTGACACAGTATTTTTTGTATCTCATTACGGTATCTACTTCTTGGGCCAGGATAGCTGTTCAGATTTCAGCTATCCCATCCCAATTCCAGCTGGTAGGATACTTCCCATAAGTTTCATACAAAACTATTTCATATGTCCCACTGGCCAGAACCTGGTCATGTTGCTGTACTAGCTACAAAGGGGCAGGGGGTGAGGGTGGAGGTAGTTTTTTTTTTTTTTAAACCAGGGATTGAACCAAGGGGTGCTCAACCACTGAGCTACATCCCTAGCCATTTTTGTATTTTTTATTTAGAGACAGGGTCTCAGGGTCTCGCTAAGTCGTTCAGTTGCTGAGGCTGGCTTTGAACTTGCAATCCTCCTGCCTCAGCCTCCTGAGATGCTGGTATTATATGCCTGTGTCATTACCTAGGTTAGAAGTAGTCTTTATTCTGGTCACACTTGTACCTCAAATTTTAAAGTGGGGATTTCTTTTAGAGGAATACATAGAGACTGAATGTTGTATGCCAACATGAATTCTCTGCATGGTACACAAAATGACATTTTACGTGATCTATTGTATCTTCTTTAATGTAAACTCACTTGCTTGTGCTACTTTTCATTATTGTCAGATGCACTGATTCCATACACATATCAATCTCCTTCTCTAAAGCATGGTCCCTGAGGGAGAAAAAGTAGTATTCATCATGTACATAGAGCCTGGGACAGTTGACTATAGTAGAAAAGGCCTAAGCACACGTGTTTAATTGGACAAGAAGTTCCAAAAAGTACCAATGAGAGAGTGGAGAAGGTGAGATAGAAGAGGGAGAAAGGTTGATTAAAAAAAACATATGTTTGGGGCTGGGGATGTGGCTCAAGTGGTAGCGCACTCGCCTGGCATGTGCGGGGTGCTGGGTTCGATCCTCAGCACCACATAAAAATAAAATAAAGATGTTGTGTCCACCCAAAAGTAAAAAATAAATATTAAAAAATTCTCTCTCTCTCTCTCTCTCTCTCTCTCTCTCTCTCTCTCTCCTTTAAATAAAAAAAAGGATGTGTTAATGGGCAAGTTAACATTATGGGTCACTAGGACTCAATTTTACTAAGGAGGCAACAAGGAACTCTGTAAATGTTCCTTAGGGTTGTCCCTTCAAGGGATAAGGAACCCCAATTTCCAAAACTCATTGATTGAGGATTGTTCCCAAAGACATTGAATCACCAGTAATTTCAAAGTGCTCTCTACATAAGTTGAGCTCAAACAGGAACAAAGTCTTAATTGGTGAAGTTGAGACACACAGGTGCTCTATGTGCAGAATTGAAAGTGTGTGCCAGGAACTGTTCATCCTGGCTATAAGTTAGCTCAGAGGTGACCCAAGAAAAGACAAAAAGGGCTTTTGGTAGTATTTATTAGAGGAGGTATTTCCTTTACAAGATGGGGAGAAGGACCAAAATAGGATTAGAAAAAAGAGAGGGGCATATTACTACTGCCTCACTTAAAAGAAAACTAAGCAGCCATTCCACAATGCAAATCCAGATGTAAACATACGAGAACCTGGGAGAAGCCAGGCACAGTGACACATGCCTGTAATCCCAGTGACTCGGGAGACTGAAACAGGAGGATCACAAGTTCAAAGCCAGCCTCAGAACTTAGCAATGCTCTAAGCAACTCAGTGAGACCCTGTCTCTAAATAAAATACAAAATAGGGCTGGGGATGTGGCTCAGTGATTGAGTTTCCTTGAGTTCAATCTCCCCAATACACACACAAAAGAAGAACCTGGGAGAGAAAGTCAAATACATATATCACATTTGTGTGCATGCGCACATATGCACACACGTGCACACACACATACATACACATACCAGGAATTACCCATAATTCAAATGATTACTTGAGCATACACTGATGATTTGATTGTGTTTTTTCCTACAGCTACCTGCTCCCTGATGACAACAAAGCCACAAAGCACAAAACTATGGTCGTAAAAAAGAGTGTTAATCCTCAGTGGAATCATACTTTCATGTTCAGTGGCCTGCATCCCCAGGATATAAAGAATGTTTGCCTAGAACTTACCATCTGGGACAAGGAGGCCTTTTCCAGCAACATCTTTCTAGGAGGAGTTCGTTTGAATTCTGGAAGTGGTGAGGAACTTGGGAACCCTGAGACAGTCTGTGGCTGAGCATGGCACAAGGGCATGATTTCTTTATGTATGAGGTGTAGTAAATGTTTATATAGTTTCAGCAATAACTGACCTGAAATTATCACAGACATTCCATTCCTTTAGCTAAAGATTTGCTCATTGATAAAATAGAACCATTACTCCTATAACTTCATATCCTTAGGCTAGACGTTTGGGAGGTATAATGTTTATATTCATATTTATGTTGCTGGGCAAAGCAGTGGTGCATGCCTGTAATCCCAGAGGGTCATGGGGCTGAGACATGAGGATTGCATGTTCAAGACCAACCCCAGTAACTTAATGAGGCTCTAGGAAATTTAGTAAGACCCTGTCTCAAAACAAAAAGGGCTGGGGATGTCGTTCAGAGGTAAAGTACCCCTGGGTTAAATCTCCAGTACAAAAAAAAATTTTGTTCTTGGGTCTTACTTTAGGTTTTTCTTAGGAAAGACTGTTCAAGACAGCACAGGCTTCTTTTTTTATGGGGGAGGTACTGGGGATTGAATTCAGGGGCACTGAACCACTGAGCCACATCCCTAGCGCTATTTTGTATTTTATTTAGAGACAGGGTCTCACTGAGTTGCTTAGCACCTTGCTGTTGCTGAGGCTGGTTTTGAACTCGCGATCCTCCTGCCTCAGCCTCTGGAGCTGCTGGGATTACAGGTGTGCACAGCACAGGCTTTTGATAGTGAAGACAGGACCTTCAAGGCCAAGTTTACCTAATCCTCTGTTCTGTCTAGCACTTGCAGCCATTATTCATACTGGTACAATTGAAACAAAACCAATTATTTTCTCTAAAAAATAATAACTAGTGCTGTTTATACAGGTCATGGAAACACACCACTGGTGCCACAAGATGGAACTATAACAGGGTGTATTGGGGGAGGGGCACATTCTAGTATTTGAGCATGTGAGCATTAGCAGAGCATATGCAGTCCCCCAAACCCTCCTTATCCCATTGCTTAGACAGACATATATGTTCTGCACTATTATTTCTGTTGAGAAAGACCCCACCCCCTATAATGCTTTACTTATTTGTAGATTAATTAGATCTAAGGATATCTATGCCACTCCGATCAGAGAAGTGATCGTGTTAGAAAGAGAGCTGACTTCAGCTCATTCTGTCATGTTAACTCGGTCCCAGTGAGCCAGCTCTCCATGGAACTACCAAAGTGGAGAGTAAATGAACTACCAGAGCTGGCCTGATTGGTCTCACATTGTCTAAGCAGAAAAAAAGTAGTGCAGCTGCAAAGGACTGATTCCATTCTGACAGGGCTCACTAGATGGGGAAGTGATAACAAGCCAGAGAAGGCTCTCTCATTAAAAGGCTCCCTCACTGGCTGATAGGTGCCTTTCAGAAGGTGAATATATCTCATCTGTGAAATGTAACACTCCCCTTTCCCTTCTTCAGGTGTGAGCCATGGGAAGAATGTGGATTGGATGGACTCTCAGGGGGAAGAGCAACGCCTTTGGCAAAAGATGGCCGACAACCCTGGAACCCCTGTGGAGGGGATACTCATGCTCCGTTCCAGCATGGGGAAGTGTAGGCTCTGAAGGAAGCAGTTCTTCAAGAATAACTGGGGATTGTCTGTCTGGCTGCCATTTCCTACCAGTAGTCCAAGTCTAGGACCTTGGGACTCTGTTTCCCTGCCATTTTTCACCTGAGGGTATTGGGACATGAGGGGAGAGATGTCAGTGTTATGAACACTCAGGATCTTGCTGAGTGCCAAAAAAAAAAAAAAAAGAAAAAAAACCATGCACTTCTGTTTGTCCATGGACCAGAGCCTCCTTGATTAGATAATAGAAAGTATACCACACTGTCCTGTCAATAAGCAAATTGTGTAGTGGTTCAAAGGCTTTATATGGTAACAGAAATGGCACAAGCTTATTTAAAGCAATTAGAGATTGGGGTCTCCAATCTTTTTCTGAGTTACTTTAGGTTTTTTCAAATAGTTGGAGCAGAAAGGAAACCACTAAGAAGGCCGATCATTTGAAGAGTTAAAAGCAGGCATACTGGCCACCCTTTGCTCACCCTAGGAATTCCTGCTATCCAAAGAAGGAGCGATGGGGGATGGTTTCCCGGATAAGGGCAGTTCCTGTTATGGTAGCAAACTAAAATTGAGCAGGCAGTGTTTCAAGATGGACTGACAGGGCTTGCTCTGGTGACTATAGAATTCATCTTCTAAATCAGCCTACTTTTGAGAGAAGAGAGCTCAGTAATTATACCACCACAACAGATGTAGACTAGAATGGACCTGGGTAAACTGGGATATATAGGGTCACCCTACTGATGACCTAACTATTAACTCTGTTATAAACATTTATTTTTAGAAACGTTCTAAGCCATTAACTAAAAAGGAATAAGAAAAAAAAAAGGCAATCAATACATCTTTTCACATTTTGTTCATTGAGACAAGTTTAAAGTTTAATGCTGCTATTTCATTTCTGCCTCTCTGTTTTTTGTTTTTTTTTTTTTGTTTTGTTTTTTTTTTTTTTTTTTTTTTGGTACCAAGGATTAAATCCAGGGGCATTTAACCACTGAGCCACATCCCCAGCCCTTTTTTCATTTTTTATTTAGAGACAGGGTCTCACTGAATGGCTTAAGGCCTCACTAAGTTGCTGAGGCTGGCTTTGAACTCAGTGATCCTCCTGCCTCAGCCTCCGGGGCCACTGGAATTTCAGGCGTGGGCCACTGCACCTGGCTCATTTCTGTCTCTGTTCTATACTAATATAGGAGTCAGAGACTATTTGTTCTCTCCCTTTTATGTTTCCCTCCCCCAAGTTCTCATTAGCTCTTTTGGTAGTGGTTAGCTATGGCCATAATAATGCTGAATGAAAACTATGCCAAATGTCAGTGACTGAAAACAACAACCTCTTTTTTCCTCATAGTTATGGAGCCTGCCTAGGGCAGCTGTGCTTCCTGCTACAGGCCTGAGAGTCTAAGTCTGCAGCTTGTATCTGTTTCTTGGATGAAACAGAATGAGCGCCACTGCTCAACTACATTTAGATCCCCTACTTGTGTCATGTCTCATTGGTCAAAGGAAATCCATATGGCCAAGCCCAAAAGTCAGGAGGCAAGGAAATATACTTTGCCCACATTGAAGCCATGATAAGAATGAGCATGCAGGAAGGGATACAAAAATTGGGGCCAATAATTCAATTTGTTGTATCTTCTTTACCTGGAATTTCAGATACTTGAGTCACCAAACTTAGATACAAAGGTAGTTACAGCTAATTCTAATTCAGGCCTGGTTCTTCATTTTGAGAATTCTAAATCTGAAGCCCAGTGAGCTGAGATGACTTGCCCAAGGTCATGGGGAGGCTGTGGCAGAATCTGAACTTCTTCAATCTTAGGCCAGTGTTTGTCCCATTGCAGTCCTTGACATATTCTATGCTTATTAAGGTGGACACAGGGCATATATCAAGGAAGATAGGTGAGAGTCTGATTACTTGCGCATGAAATGCATGACCTAGGAATGTTCTGGAGCCATAGTCTGGCTCCTCAGCTCATTTTCTCACTTGAATACATATAAAGTTCTTAAAAGTATAGAAGGGCTGGGGTTGTGGCTCAGTGGTAGAGCGCTTGCCTTGCATGTGTGAAGCCCTAGGTTCGATCCTCAGCACCACATAAAAAAATGAATTAATTAAATAAATAAAGGTATTATTTCCATCTACAATTTAAAAATATTAAAAAAAGATTAAAAGGTATAGGAACTGAATTTTAATAGTAGGAGAACCAGAATCATGTTCAGGTTTCTTCTGGACAGTTGTTCTATTATTTTTAGACTGCCTCTTGAACTTTGAAAATTGATTGAAGAATTTATGTAGTATTATTCTTCACAAAGGAATTAATAATTCACTTTCAATATTGTTCAAAAATAGGCCATCTAATTCTAGAAAACTGACGTTATTAGTCTAGCATCACTTAGAAAGTACGGTACTTTAAAAAACCACACTCATATCTTCATGTTGCCTTTTTTAAAAGCAGAAAACAAAAGGTAGATGATCATCACTACTTCCCACAGAAGAAATAAATTGTCTTCAGACTTGATGTGACTCATTCTGTCTTCAGTGACATTTTTAGGGGAAGTAGTGATGAAGTCTAGAGATATCTCTGAAGTAGATACAACAAAGTAGATTTATTCACTAATAATAAATGTGGCAAAATAATAAATCCCCAAATTTATAACTTGAATTCAAGAAGAACATGAAATTTATATGTTCAGAACTTTGCTGCATTTTGAGCAATTCTCTGTATCATGGTTTCATAAAATCTAACACCTAACTGGACATCTATTAGACAAAAACCCAGATATGCAAAAGTCTATTAGAAACCTCATTTACCAAGTTGAGATAAAATAATAATTCAAAACATAGGTAATACTTATGAATGGCACAGATTCCAATAGTTCAAAATTGTGATAGAAATATATATATCAACCGCCTTGTTCTTTTTTATAGCTACAGGGTATCACACTATTGGAATATTTATTTAACCAGGCCTGTCAAATGCCATGTTAAATATGGCTAACTAAGCCATCTGTGCTTAATGGCTTCTCTAAGCAATGTTTGCTTTAAAAATAAACACTCTGAAATTCAAAATGAGATATGTATTTTTTCCAGAAATTCCATTTCTGGGCATATATCCTAAAGAGATAGATGCATATGTGAGAAATAAGTACATATAAGGGCATTTATTGCAAGAGATTGGAAACAGCCCAAAAGCCATAAGTCATAAATGCCTGCTCCAGATGCTCTCATGCAAGCACAATCCAATGAAATGACCCACCCGCTATGACTTTAAGATCAATTTTACTTAGCAACTGTCATTGCTTACCAATCAGAGCTTGCCTGCTCCCCAAAGTCATTGCCAACACCTATGAACTTGCTTCCAAAATAATTTGTGTAATCCCCTCTCTCCAATAAAACCCTAATCTTTTACTTAATTCTCTGGCCATACCAGAGATTGCTTCAGTCTTATGTCTGATTGTAATCCTGTGTTTTATTCCCAAATAAAATCTTTTTCTTGGAAATTTGTTGCTGTATTTGTATTTGACTTTGACAAACCAGATCCATTTGCTTCTATGACACCAGGAAAGTTTGTGTTTGAAACACGTTCAAAACTGAATTCTGAGTTCTTCGTCCCACCATCTCTCTCACACCATGTCTTCCTCCTCCAGTGCTCCTTGTCTCAGTACTTGGTCCCATCATCCAACCAATTTCGGTAACTAGGCACTTAGTAGTAAACTTTGATTTCTGTCTCTCCCTTGCTCTGAGGCAAAAATCAATCAGAAAATCATATTAATTCTGTCTTCTCAATATCTCTAGAGCCTATGAAAGTCTCCTTTCTCTGTGGCAAGCCACCATTACCCCATTCCAAAATTATTTCAATGGTGTCCTTGCTGTGATCTGGGCAACCACTCTTTTTTCTTGTGTGTGTGTGTGTGTTTTTGCAAGGGCGGGGGATGTCATGTTACTGGGAATTGAACCCAGGATCTTGTGCATTCTAGGCAAGCACTCTACCAACTGAACTATATCCACAGCTCCTGGGCAACCACTCTTGTCCTCCCTCCATCCATCCTCCACACATTAGATAGAATGATTTGTCCCAAAATGTTATTTAACATGTTCAAACATACAGAAAGGTTGAAAGAATTTCATGGCGAACACCCTTAGACCCACCACCTATATTCACCATCTACCATTTGCCCATCATGATAAATCTCTCTCTCCATCCCCAGAGTGATCTTTAAAACCTTCCACAGCTTTCCATTGTCTTGATTATAAAACACAGATTCTTGTTCATAACCCTGCATAAGGCGGCCACTGCTGGGGCTGGGGCTGTAGCTCAGTGGCCCAGCACTTGCCTATCATGTATGAGGCACTGGGTTGGATCCTCAGCACCACATAAAAATAAACAAACAAAATAAAGGCATTCTGTCCATCTACAACTACAAAAAAAAAAAAAAAAAAAAAGAAGGCCACTGCCTCATTCTGGCTTGTCCCAGGCTGTCTTCCCTCCCTTTCTCCTTGGACACACAGTGCTTGACCTGCTTGTCCACAGTGCCAGGCTGTAGCCCACCTCACGGTCTTTGCTAGGCATCCTCTTAGTCCTTCTCACCAGCTTGCTTCCCATTAATCATCCGGGTCTTAAATGTTACATCCTCTGAAAAACCTCCCCTGATCCTCCGCTGAACTAGGTCACAGCAGTCTGCCTCTATTTCCCCTTCACTGCACACATAGCAATTATAATAAATTATTCATGTAATGAGTCCTTTAATGTCTGTATCTATTCCCTCACCACCATGTAAGATTCATAAGGGTAGAAACACTATTTTTTTCACAGCTACATCCCCAACACTTGTCTCAGAGTAGGTAATCAAAAAAAATTTTGTGAAATAAATTTTGAAAAGAAAGCATGATATAACATCAGAGAATGTTAGAACAATAGGCATCTTTAAAGACCACCTACTCAGCCCACCCTCCCTTGCTGGGGATCAAACAAGGCCACACTCATAACAAGCAAGCCTACTTTACCCCTGAACCACACCCTT